CACCCCCCACCCCTTCCCCAGCCTGGCCACCAAACTTAATCAGGATATGCAGTTGCTGAAAAGCAGTAAGATATGACCAAGAGATTAGGACAGATTGTCCTTAAAATTGGTGAGACTGGAGGCCATTCTAGTCTGAGGCAAGTTCCAAGGCTACTCGCTAAAGATTTTCTTTTTTCCCCCAGCAGGACTGATACTCCTACAGCTCAGCCTGCAGCACTGATGTCTCTCTCTCTCTGTCTCTTGTTCTGTTTTTATGTTTGTCTGTCATCCAACAGGAGGGCTCTTCCCCAGGGGAGCTGATCAGGAATACAGTGCATTTCGTGTAGGAATGGTTCAGTTTTCCACTTCAGAATTCCGACTGTCACCACACATTGACAATCTGGAGGTGGCCAACAGTTTTGCTGTCACCAATGCATGTAAGTAACCAGCCTCTCCTTGTGAACCACTGTGTTCCCTAGATTGACATGGTTGGGTCAGCAGCTGCCTTTGTGGATTAGGCAAACGATGCAAAGGCTGAGGGTAATGATTTTGTCATTTATCTTTCCCAAAATATCTGGGAAAACTTGGAGGGGGGGGTGAGGAGTTTAAACCATGGAGTATCCATCCAGCTATGATTACCTCTCACTGTGATCTTTCCATGCTCCCATTCCTCTACCTTTCAAACTAGGTTGTACAATTTATGCTGGCAAATTCAGTTGACTTCCAAGCATATCCCAGGTTCTCTTTCTCTGTTTTATATAAATTGACTTCAGTTTAGGAAAGACCCCACCCTTTTCAATATCAGAGGCCCACATGTCTGAGTGGGGTGTGTGATTTGCTCTATTTTGTTTCTAAATTTCACCCCAGTTATGCTGGTATATTTGCGTTTTGAAATTAATTGTTTCTTCTCTATTCCCCTTGTCATAAGAGACTATTTGAGCTTGTTTTTTTTTAATTTTGTTGTTTGCCTGTTTTCTATTGCAGAATAGGTAGGAATATTAAATCTGATAATTAAATCTTTTTTATCTTCATATATGACAATCCATTATATCCTTCTATAGAAAAGGGCATAGTGAACCTGTATTTTCATCTCTCCACCTTTCCTTAACAGGGAAAATGTTTGGTACTTTGTTCTGTAGAATACCGTATAGAAGTGGCATTGAGAAAAAGTACATTTTGCCACATGATAGTGGCATACCCAGAATAAGCTGGAGTGGGTAAAATGGGAGTAATGGTGAGATATTCTTTGAGGTATTCCTTCTGGATCATGTATTGGTGGCTGGCTGGTTGCACATGGCAGAGGATCGTCAAGCCTATTCTCTACCTTGAGATGGCTGTCTCAGGAGCAAGATTCTATACAGGCTGTATGCTAAAAGACACAATTATTCTTATGACTCCTTCAACCTTTGACATCTTGCTTGGTTTGGCAAATGATACATGACAAGAGAATGCTAGAGGAAGCAACCAAAAAGCTGCAGCTGGATTATTGCTCTGAAAAGCAATAGCTGCAGGAAACACTGAACAGCCATTTTCCTTTTTGCAATTTTACCTTTTTAGAATTATACTGCCCCTATCTCTTTCTCAATAAATCACATCACTTTAAGGAGCTCACTCTTGATTTGGGGAGGAAAGAACTGAACAGAAGGCACTGAAGTTCTAAATTTTGGGTAGAAATGGCTCTTCCTATACAGTAATGCTGCTAGAATGAGGATTACTGGAATAGCAGTCTTGTTTGGCATATATTCAATAAATCTTTAGCATGTCCAGAATAAACGTGTGACCCAGCCTTCCTTCTGTTGCTTGGTATCACCTTGATATTCTTCTTTTACAAGGTTGATTCAAATCCATCTGCTTCCACAGAAGGTCACTGGATAACTGGGCTAGTCACTCCCTTTTATTCCAATCTACCTCGCAGAGTTATTGTTGTGAGTAAAAATAGCAGGGAAGAGTGATGTATATGCCACCTTGAGCTCCTGAAGGAAAAGTGGTATATATATCTAACAAATAAATAAATTTCCAGGAGGTTTCAGTAAGGGAAACAGTATAGCTATTGTAGAGATCACATAACAAAAATAATACTGAGGCAAAATCTAATCTTAAATTGCTTGGTTTTATGTTGTTATTGTTATTTTATTAGTTTTTGTTTTTTTATCCATGCCTTTACTGGAATACACATTTCTTTAGGGGATAGATTTGATAGCATAACAGACTGTTGTGACTGCTACTACCGAACTAAAAGCCTTATCATTATTTGATTTTTTTTCTGCTTAATTATTTAAATATAGAAATGTGTCCCTCATTACACGTCATTGTTTAATAATATAGTCACTTTGTGAGATGGGCGGCTATAATGTAATGTATAAATAAATAAATAAATATCTCTTAAGATGTTTATAACTGAACTGGATTTTGTTAAAACTTAGATTCATTGTAGTGATACAATGGAATAGAATGGCCAAGAAAGTGTTGATTCCTGATCCTACAGACCAATTTTGGGCTGGAATTGAATGAATACAGAGTCTACATTGCAAATTTGTGGAATAACAGTGCAACATCGTAAAAGTTACACAGGTGGGGAATGGTGGCTGGATTGACTCCTCACATGATCGCCTGAGTAGAAAAATAACTCCCAGGTAGAATTATTAGAAATGTACTTTGTCATTTTGTCATCTTCTGAGACAGCTAATTCCAAACTTTCAAATTCATAAACTCTGAAATGCTAACCAAAACTATGATAGGCCCTGTGGATTGAAAAGTACATTCTACAGATTCAAGGGGTTAGAGATTATAGTTAAATGCAGCTGTCTGCAGTGAAAATTAACATATTGAAGGTAATCACTGCCATAACAGAAACATCCCCAAGGCCATCTTAAATTTATTTTATTGTGGTATAAGCTTATGTAGGCAACACCAATTTTCATCCCTTGTATTAATTATTAAATAGGTTAATGCCACTGAAATTTCACAACATTTCAAAATTAGTAAAGTTAAAGGTAGCACTGAATTCTTTATGAGAGGAGAGAGAGAGAGAGAGAGAGAGAGAATGTCAGTCTTCCAGAAGACAGTTGGACAAAAGGAAAAGTTATGACTATTCTCATTCATGGTCATGTATCCAGGGCTTTTAAAATTTTTTGGTAGATTTATTAAGGGAAATACATTCAGTGAACTCTGTAGTTCTGTGATTAATTGCAACACCCCATTATTACAGGTAGAATTAGATCTCAAATCTATTTTCACTTCAAAAGCATAGCCCTCAGATTTGAGAACAGAACTTAACAAAAGGCTTCTGAGTATGTGCAGAATACATTTTCTTCATTTCTTTTCCTCTCTTTTTAGAGCAGAGGAAAGGTTTCTAGGAAGGAATTATCCTTACCACCTTTTTTCAGAAATGTGATGCAGTAAAGATCAGAAGAAACAATAAATCCACTTAAGTATATACTTAATCATCCAGGGATGATTAAGTATATACTTTGAAAGGTCAGGAAATGGACAACTATAAAAGATCTAAAATTAAAATAAACACAAGACTTTTAAAGAAACAAAATACAACTAGTCAGAGAGTGAAAAATAATCCAAATTAAATAAACCTGCAGTAATACTTTGAAACACAATATTATAATGAACCAACATTACAACCGAATACAAATTAACTCACTGGCTATATACTTATCAACCTACTAAAAACTTACTTTTCAGAAAAAAGTCTCAATAAGAAAGTCACAATCAAACCATAATAATATATTTTATAGAGAAACGATAAATCATTTTAATATCTAAGTTTGGTAAAATATTAGAAATAAAGCATTTATCTAGACAACCAGATGTTTTATACAGAGATGTATTAGTTTAAAACTGTTATTATTTTTCACTATGACTGATATGAAGTCATACTAAGAAAAAGACAGAAGAAGAAAAAGACATAGATGCAAAGAACTGAAGTTGGATAATGAAGAAACGGGAGGAAAGGAGGAATGAAATAGAAGGAAGAGGAAAGGTTAGAGAAGTAATAAGTTAATGTAAGTGTCACAAGCGTGAGATGGGCAGCTATATAAATATAATAAATAAATAAAATAAATTCAGCTTCGAAGAAATTATTATTTCAATATTTGTCAATTATCCCATCTTAAAAATATGAATAGTTCACAATAAAAAGATTCAATAACATGTGGAAAAAAATCTATAGAACTTTTATAACATGACCAACAATTCATATTTAGTAAGAAAAGAATATACCACAGCCGTCAAAATTAAGCCCTGAATGTTCAAAGGAACAGTTTGCTTTCAGCAGATTTTAAAGAGGCCTGGCGTAGGGCTGACCAGGCCTCTGGAGGAAGCTGTTACCCAGGGCAATGGTAGATATCAACAAGGCTTGACCCAAAGCTTCACTTCCCTAACCTCTTGCTGGGCAGGGTCTACCCAAAGATCTTCCTTTCAAGAAGATCGCATGGTGTGTGTAGATTCACTTTGGATGAGAGTCTCCTTCATAAATTTGTCCCTATTAGTCTGGGAGAAGTGTTAAGTCTACCTGGTAACATAGAAGTCACACTCAAAATATATTGGCAAATACATGCTCAGGTGGAAGGCTTGGGGTGACATGCAGACTTGCATATGATTCAAGTAAAGCATTGTAAGAGAAATCATTCCCTCCCCAATAGATGGCTTCATCCTCTGCCATCACAGGAAACAATTGTGTGGCTCTATCTGCCAAACAATTGCTTCCTGCTCAAATGGTCACAAAAGCATATTACATGGTCTGCCATCTTTAGCCTGGGCCTGCTCTAGACCAGAGATTATGGGTAAGCCTTCATCCTTAGTAGGTTTCTCATTTATTGGCTGTGCTTCATATTCCTGTAACATTTTAAATTAACTCATAACTGCCTGAAATTTTCATAATCTATTTAATATAATATTAGTCAGTGTTCAGGCCTGTTGGATTTGGATTAGGAAACTCAAATCGAAGTGTATTATATTTTGATATTAACATTACAGTGTCAATTTAAAATTTAAAATGGCTTTTTTATCTTGTAATACCTTGCTGAAGACTGTTGTGAAACTCCTCTGTCCAGGTTGTTATTCTGCAGTTGCTTCCTTAAGCTACTAATATGTATATCACAGGATATATTATAAATATGCTATGTTATAACACTATTTTACTAATGTGATTCTTTTTGAGAATTTGTATATAAATTAATGAATATGAATTAGTGATTTCCTTCAGCCTTTGTAAAAACATTTGGCTAATTTAGATAACCGCTACAGCTCAAATGCTGATATAAACTTCAAAGAAGGTAAGATTCTTGGTTATTTATTCTCAGCCTCTTAACTATAATTTTTATACCTGAGTGTGGCAGCAGAGGAATGAAAAATATTTTTCTGGATATTCACTGTAGCATATTGACTGAAATAGAAGTAATGCAGATAATAATCACTTGAGCTA